TACTAATGTTGTGCAACCAGACTAGCTGCTTGTCTCTGCTGAGTTAAACTAAAATATTTATTACAGATTACAGACATGCAGACAAGAATCTGCTTTTTGTCTTCCGGTGTATAAGCCCTGGTAACGAGCGTATGGACATATATTTAAAAAGCCAAATTTAGACTGAGAGCAAAGGTAAGTCTGTCTTTTGATTCCAGGGTGGAAAACGTATGTGCACCACATGCTTCCTGTGCTAGACCAGATGTTTGATCCCTATATGGAACAGATTTGTACTCTCCAGGTTCTTACGTGTACGTAACATTTTCTGTTTACTAACGCCAACTACTACACAAATAAGACCTGTCAGTAACTTAGTGTGAGGCTCCCTTTTCCACTGAGACTTTCCTGGCAAAAGACACGTGCTCCTGTATCTCCAGGTCAGAGTTCAACTCCTTCCTACACCAACAAAGAAAAGCGCAGTAGTAACATAGATTGCTCAAATACTGTGCAAACAAAATGAACGCGAGTTTATTCCGCACACATCCGGGAATGTGCGGCAATCTGAGTTGATAAGCAGCGGGCGCTTAACTTCAAAGAAATAGCCGTGGTTTATCACACCTGTAGCTCGAGACACTGTGGTCACATGGCTGGCTGCCATTTACTCCAACTAGTTGCATCAGAAATATTCGTGACGCAGCAGTCAGACACAGCCAGTTAAATATAGTGCTCCTGGTTTTCATTTACCCAGAGCTGTCTATGCATGGAAAATTCCACTTAAAATCACAGGTCCACACTATGCTGTGATGCAGATTGTTTGGAATATATATATATATGTGTGTATATACATATACATATATATATATATAACATATATGCACACATATACATTTTTAATGATTTTTACAGTCTACACCCTTGCTATATAGTTTCTTCCTTATGAGAAATGTCCTCTGCATGTAAATCACAGTCTACTTTAAATGGGAAAGCTTTTCAGTTTTTTGCAAAATACATCCCAATTTTAGAACAAAACAAACAGCTTCCTGTTTGAGGCACTACATACGACCGTGGCACACACCTTAGTCTCATATTATTTTCTTTATCTTTTAAGAAGTGTATTGGGTGTGGGATTATTCGTGCATTAGATTGGCTGGTGTTCACTGACTCCTCAGAGCAGGTGCAAATTATGGGCTTTGCTTTCACGAAGCTGTGAGGCTCCCGAGTCCTGCCCATCATTGGTGCCGTGGACTGTGAAGTGGCACCTTATTGGCTACGAGACAAGCACGCTGATTGGTTTGGGAGGCTGTGACACTGAAGCCAAATCCTTTAAATGCACGGCAAAGACTTTGTCTATCAATGAAGTAGTAAAAGGAGGGGACATTTGGAGGAGGAGAAGGGAAAGGTTTCAGTAGAAGCCTTTGAGAGAGTGTTTGCTTTGGCTGGGTTCCCTGCTTTTATTTACTGAATTCCAGAGGTGACAATACAGAAAAGAAATAAGAAAAATGAAGTTCATCATTGGCATAGGAGGGTAAGTCTTTTATATATATATATTATATTCATGTATAGATGTTATTTATGGAAATTGAGAGAAAAAAAACTAAGTGGCACCCATTTCAGAGTGACCAACGGTGGGAAGACCACTCTGACAAATAGACTACTAAGACATTACCCAACTGTTGTGTGGTGCATCAGGATGACTTTTTCAAGGTAAGATGCATGAAAGTATTTATTTTTTCTCATTTGAAGTAAACTTGAAAGCTAAAGTAATAATTTAATGGCATTAAAGTTGAGTTAGTGCAAGGCATTTTTATTTTTCATATGTCATTCGCTGCTTTAAAATTTGTCCTGAAGACATTTTGTGCTCAGAAATAACCCTCAGTCTGACCTGCAGATGTCCTGTCATGGCAGTAGTCTAGTAATGCATTTGGCTGATTGTCTCCTGGACAGCTAATGAAGGGCTGAGCGTCCCACTTAAAGTCAGACTTAAACCTCACTTCGAGTAAAAGAAGCCAGAAGGTCTTACATCTACCACACCCATCTTTACATGATCCACTCACAGTCAGTAAAGGGATGACTGACGTCGAAACCCTTTTTCTTAAACTTTCCCCTTAAATGTTTTTAAGCCTTTTGAAGACAAATCAGAATCTCTATTTCGCAGACTCAAGATATTCCATCTCAAAGCATGTTTCACTATCAAGATGAGGCGACAACAAGCGTTAGTACCTTTTAGAATAGTTTTAAGATTTGATAAAAAAATTGTCAGATTTTCTAAGCCTAACGTTGGGAAGCGAATTCAGCCGCATTGAAAGCCGTCACCGTGTGTTTCACTTTTGGTGGAGACGAGTCCTGACTTGTCCTGTCCAGGTGTGATCAGTTCCGACTGGTTACTAGTTGCAGCAATGTTTTGTTGGTGACTGTTATTTCAGAAACCCGATCAAATAGAAGTCGGGGAGGACGGCTTTAGACAGTGGGATGGTAAGATGGATTCGCGTAAGAAAACCATGCAGTAATGTACTCTTTCTTTCCTGCACATTTCTGTAGTTGGTAACCAATCATCCTAACTTTGTGATATCAATCAATATTCTGTGGATGCTAGAGACATTCACTAACCATGACTAGTGTGTTAAAGCACATTGGTGAGGAGTGTTGGTTTCGTGTGTGGTAACGTGCTCTTCTCTTTTCTCTACTTGTTCTGTATCAGTGATCACCGCTCTGGACATGGAGGCTATGATCAACACTGTCAAAGGCTGGCAGGAGAACCCATCAAGTTTGCCCGCTCACACGGCGTGAGCCTGTCACTGAAGCCGAGAAGCCGGCTCTGAGGAGAAGGGGATCACATTCTCATCGTGGAGGGGTTCCTCATCTACACTACAAGTGGGCTTCCCAGGACCTTACTCCATTTTTTCTAAACTGTGACCTACAAACCTTCTGACCTCTAAACCTTTTGAGTAATCTGACTCTGCTTTCTCCGCAGGCTCTTATTGATGTCTATGACAAATGTTTCTACATTTCCATTCCTTATGAGGAGTGCAAAAGGAGGAGAAGGTAACAAGCTCCTCAGTGACTTTACCAGAATCCCTTAAGAGCTGGACACCACACCACAGCTTTTAATAACACAACAACCCCACACTGATCTCTTTTCTCTGCAGTACAAGGACAATCACGGTCCCTGACCAGCCGGCCTTTCGATGGCCACGTCTGGCCATGTACTTGAAACCAGGAAAGAGATGGAGGACAACTGCGACAGAATAGGTTTGTAAAGCAAGTGCTTTCCTCTTGAAATATAAATGAGACTCTGCATCCCCGCATTCGTCATAAGCCTAGCCACAGATCTAAAAAACCTATTTAACACCAACCAGTGAGCAGAAATGCTTCATACTCCTTTCATTTCTGTGCAGAGTACTTGATGGGATGACTTCAAAGGAAGAATTTACAACAAAGTGTATGAAACCATTAACAACTCCCTTCTAAACAGCTTATAGGTAAATAAAAAAATCAAATCTTGGACATTTCACTGACAGATCAGTAAATCATTTGATTCAGTGTGACTAACTTTGCTTTTCTCTCTCTCTTTACAGCAGAACGGGTCTAACAGCGGATTGTGTATAAACTTGTAATATAGAAATCTGAGTAAATGTATAACATCCGTTCAGTAGCTCTAAGCCTGATTTGTAAATAGATAATCATGTAAGATATGAAGAACTAATGGAGAAGTGCTGCGTTTTGTATAATCCTCTGTAAACTGTTGTTTTTCTAACAAGATAAGCCACCTCTGGACGCCCAGTGTTTAAACACCAGTAACTTTGGTCTTGCTGTATTTAAAAAAAGTAAAAATAAAGTCTCACTGTTTGGAAGGATTTTGTCTCCTGATTTAAAACCCCACTGAAACCATTCATGTTTCTGTTTTTCTTCCTTCTGTATCTCATGAAACAAACACCATCCGCGTAGTTCCTCTTTTGAGGCACAAACCTAACATCTGGCTGCATTGAATGAGCCTTCTTATCATATAGATAAGATTTAGTGCTCCACAATAGTAGGAGTGGCTGATTCCCCTTTGAAAGACAGGAATTGAAATGTTTCAGGGAAAAGTTATTTATTAGACCTGCCTCTTTTTTTCTCAAAACTTCTGATAAAGCAATATATTAAATGTACTTGGAGCATTCATGCATTTAAGAACATGGTGAACAACATATATAATATAAAAAACTCAGTCATACTCATTAAAGGTCTTTTACTTAATCATCTATTTGTGTAACTAAGCTGAATGATTTGTCCACACACGTTGCTCATTTTTCATAGTGTGTATAATTTTGGTGATTAATGTAGAAAATAATAATTAACACAGAGAAGTCCTTCAGCATTCTCAGTTTATTCAGAGTCATTCTGATCCTCATTCAGAAAACCTGCACACCATCTTCTTCTACTGCTTATAAAACAAACGCTTTATGTAGTCTTGGAGAGAAGAAGCGGCAGCTTCAACCAGTGAGCACTTAACAAGACACAGTGTCTCCCTCTAAGCTCTTGTGAAATTAACAGCGTGATATTTCTGTAAGCTCTGATGGGGAAATGATTTTCTCGCTTACATCTACTCTTAGAGGTCACAGCCCACCAGGAGGTCGTGCTAAGCTTTAGCACTGGGAGGTAGGCTGGTTGAAAACTTCAATATGCTTCCCAGAGGTGTCAACACCCCATCCAGCAACATTACACGACCTCTCTATCACCTATTCTGTAACACTCCTACAGAAATAAAGGAGCAAATCTTTCATTTTTGGCATCAGCTTCAACAAGCAGCAGTGTGAACCATGTCTGCACTTCTTCAAAGTCCTTTAGAGTCACCCACATAGCACAATCCCCGGCCTCAGCCGACAGAAACAAGGGGAGACACTGAGCAATGCATTTTCACTTTTATTGATATTTTAATATCAAGCACCAAAATTAATTATATGGTTACAATAAGGGGTTTAATTACTCCAGCTGATGACACAGAATCATTTTAAACCATTAAATGGACAATTTCTGCTGTAAGGGGCCAGTGACAACAATAGCAATACTCAGTTCAATAGCTCAGTGTTGGATAAAGGTTTTGGTCATAAAAGTTTACTCATACTGTACATTACTGTGAGAAAAGTCCAGCCAGCTCTGTCCCTGGACTTGGAAGATCCACAGAGGGTGTGTCGGGGAGAGTTCAGGGTCTTGTGATTCGTTTCTTGGAGTCTTCACATGCCAGCGTTGGCCTGCAGCAGGGGGTAGCTGCTCTGTTAGTTTATATTTAGGCTAAGTGCCTGAGGTGTCAGGGGAATAGATTTAGCATGCCTACAGAAATCACTTATTGCCACACACCCACTCGAGGCTCCGCAGCCCAGTCTGACTCAGGGGCTATCTGCCTTCATGCAACCGCCCAGTAAGGTGAGAACCTCGATACGTGGCATGTGCTCCCACGTCACCCCAACGCCATGGAAACCCCCAAATAAAGAGCCGGGGTGTCCATATTAGGGTGGAGAGGCAGTGACACAGGAGATGACTGGCTGTCACAAGCTCAGCAGAGCCTCTGTATGAGAGAACGAGGACCCCTGAGGTATGTGAACAGTTGTGGTTTCACCAGTAAATGAATGACAGGAAAATTTATGGTGGCTCACTGAGACAAACATGTATGAACAACTGAATCAGTTGTGGTCTATCATATGACTTACACGTGTAACAATAAGCGGGGATTAAAACATTTCAAATATTTTCAAATAACTTTTAAGCTCCTTTAAATTAATAAACCCACCTCCATACTTACTTATGGATCCCACAAGGTTGAATTGTAGGTGATAAACAAACAAATTTTTGTGAGTTACTATAAAATATTAAATGTTTAATTGGAGATCTTCAACTGATTTGTCATTTTTGTAATAGCCGATAACATAAAGAACTGCAGACACAGCAAGTATTAAAGGGTAATGTTAAATATCTCTAAGAAAAGATGATAAATTAATAAAGATTTAGGCTTTTGTGCTGAAAGTGCATGTTAGCTTAATCTGCATGACTTCTTCTGCCAGTCAAACACATGACTGACCATAATAGAGTCATATGTGTATTTTGGTCTTAGGCCAAAGTACACACATGACTGTATTCTGGTCCTGTCCTCCAGCAGTATGTGTGTTATTGACAGCAACTATTAGAAACTCGACCCACCTGATACCAACAAATGATCCTGGCAGCAGAAGATAATTAACTCAAGTGAGGAGGAAAAACAGTTGTGTAAAAGAAAGCTTCGCAGGACTTTATGCAGTTGTGTGAAAAACGAACCATACCCTGTTATTCAGTCACTTGTAGAACCAACTTTAACAACAATAACTTGAAGTAAAACTTCATTAACTTGAAGTAGTGACTTTCTGTTTATCTGAATTTTGGTTCACTGTTCTTTGCTTCAGTTCATTGAGGTTTGCAGGTATTTGTTTATGCACAGGTCCCATCACAGCATGTCAGTCAGGTTGAGGTCTGGATTTTAACCAGGCCATTGTAACCCTTATTTCCTCTCTTTTTCATCCATCCTGTTGCAGATTTTATGCTGTGCTTGGGAGTTTCAGTCAGTCTTTAGCTGTGAGACAACACCTGCACATTGACTCTAGAATACTTTGGTATACAGAAGACTTCATGGTCGACTCAATTACTGCAAGATGCCCCGGTCATGTGACTGCAATACAAGCTGAAATCATCAACCCCTGCTCTGCTTGGTTTTTGCCAAACATGGTGCTTTGCATTTTGCCCAAGTATCTCCGATGTTGTCTCATCTGCCCAAAGGACATCGTCCCAGAATTCTTGTGGTTTGTTCAGATGCAACTTTGAAATCTAAACTGTTGTGCCATATTCATTTTAGAGAGAAGACGCTTTCACCTAGAAAATCCTCCAAACAAACAACAGCTGTTCACTCTTTTTCTAATTTTTCCATTGTGAACTTTAACATTTGACATGCTAACTGAAGCCTGTAGAGTCTGGGTTCTTGTTCTTTGGGGTTTTTTGGCTTGTAATGAATTTGTTGGGATGTCCACTCCTGAGAAAAATGTCCACTGCCAAACCTTTGCTTTCATAGAGGTGCTCAGAGTTCCTGAGGAATATTAATCAAGTGCATTTGATTACCAGCACCTGGCTGCTAATTACCCTCTTAATTCCTATGGAAGAAGTAAGGGTGTACTTAGTTTTTTTTTTTTTTTGACACGACTGCACTGAGTCCCGTGAAAACATTTTTTTTCACATGATTGTACACTCCATGAATTAATGACTGACAGTTGCTATTAGAAACTGCACAATTAGTGCAAATTGACCCTCCCAGCAGAAGAGCACTCCACCTACTCAGGAGCAGACACATTGTTTAGTTAACATAAACAGGCTAAAATTCAATAGTTTAGTCTTTAATACTTAACATGTACCACGCAAGAGTGATTTAATGTAGTTTTGGATTTTCATTGACTTGCTCATTGTTAATTATTTGAAACAATACACCACATGGCTGATCGTTTATTTTTACAAGTAAACACAAGATTCATTTATTAATATGTTTTTTAAAAATGTGATTTGATCATCGAACATAAAAATGTATAACAGCGCTCAACCTTTAAGTACTTTGGTATACTACAGTGTGGTTTCAGAAACGTTTCTTAAACTTACAGAAGTTTCAGCACCAAGTTAAAAAACATGCTCATCATATAGATTAGCCCATAATAAATCAATATATATTATATATGTATTAGATATAAGGCATGATTATTATTTATTGGCTGTAATGTTGCAGCTTGTTTTTGCTGCTTTTATAGAGTTTTGTTTAATTTATTACAACACATCACACTGAATATTTTAACAAATGATCCAAATGTGGAAAATTATTCACATCTTAAGTTTTAAATGAAACAAAGTTGAATAAAACTGTAAAAATGGAACCACTCAGTAAAGTAAAAGGACTCTGACAAGCTTAACCTTGAAAACACAAAGTTTTTGGCCCGGGGTCACATTAAGGCAGTTTTTAATAGGTTACATATCAAAAGTTCACCAGACAAATCGCCACGTGTGAATGAATGAATGAAAACGTGACGATGGACACAGCAGCATGTGTCTCACTGATGAAATGTGAGGAGCGCTGACGGGCTGATTTGTGCCAAGGGTTAATCAAAGATAAGCAAGAAGCGTTTCACAAGAAAGCTGACGCTCTGCCGCTCTGCCGCTCCGACAGCCTATAATTAATCTTCCACTAGACATTGAAGCATTTTATTTCAGGTTACACTAAAAAAGGAACTTGTTTTATTTAAAGCTTTTTGCTTTAACAGGCATTAAACATCCACATGAGCGCAGAACCCAAAACAGTTTACTAACAAATGTCATTTTTCAAGCATTTTTTTTCAGTATCTCACCTGTATTGTCTCCCCATGATCTGTGGTAAACCCTCTGGATCTATCATTATACTCCTCAGAGTGGCAGTGTGAGGCCTCAGGGGAAAGCAACAGGTATATTCCATGTAGGGGAAGTTTCTTGTGGTAAAACCATTTTAAGACCATCATCTTCCTTAACAAGAAGCAAAGCTGTGAGCAGCCCTGGATACCTAGATTCACGGGATAAGATATATTCAGTGTAAAAGAATTAGTCACCCGGGGAAGGATCTGCTGCTGCTGCTGTAGGTGTACCATGAAAACAACCAGAAACTGTTTATTTTTATTTCCAAGCACTCCCAATTCACAGTCACAGATTAGTTTTTGTGGCAGCATTTGTCGTGATTTGTTTACTTTCAGTTCAGACACACAAGAAAGACTTAATTCAACATTAATACTTACTGGCTACATTTTGTGGGTTACTTGTCCTGCTCGGGAAGTCTTGTGCCAAACCAGTGCCGAGGATCTGCGTCTGTTATAAATCTAGATGCAGGGGCGGTGCCAGACTTTGGAAGAGAGAAGGTTTCTCCAGCTAAGAATAGAAAAGCATGAAGGCTCACCATCTCGATGCCCTTTTTGGCAGAGGAAAGATACTGCGACACTTCAGCAGCACTTCTCCATATGTCAGTGTCTTTTAACCTGTTCGTGACCCATATCTAACTCATACCTTACCTGAAAAAAAGATCCTGCTGATGTTAATCAAACTCTCAGCTAATTTTCAGATTTAAAACTTAAGACACGCAGTAAAAGAAAGTATCAAAGTATATTTGTTTGTCACAATGAAATATTATCTGTATTTATGTCCCTGTTCTTTTTAAAAAAAAAGTTTTTTCTTTAATGTGTGAAAGTACTGTGCTCTCCCTTTTTCTGTCACAATATTACAAAAAACAATAAAGTTCTAATATTGGGTAGACATAAAGGAACTTCCTGTGAGCCAAAAACTTCACACCTTCTGTTTGCATGGGACAGCCAATCAGAAAACGTCTGGCTTAAAGGGAACTAACACAGCAGCACAAACGTCCATTATAAGATTTGTATGTCTGTTGCTTTTGTTGTGCTTTTCTTGTTTTTGGTTCTCTAATTTCTTCCCACTTTCTGTGTTGCTGAGTGGTTTTTCTTACTGTAGTTTAAAAAATAGGGAGCATGAAACGGGACTTATATAATCATTTTAATATATTGGACTTGTCTGGAACAAGACAGTGTTTCGTTATTGTGCATAGTCACTGCGTCTTGTAATTGCTGATGTTTAAGACAGCTGTTGAGCTCCTAATAGCAGACTGATGTTTTTCTTTCAGTACTTACTACAGATCCTCTCACAAGGTTCATACTGTTATAGCAGTTCATACAATGTGATTGGGACATACTAGCTCATCGTAACAATCTTAACATTGTGCCTTGAGCTTTGACCTGCTTACCTTCAGGCTCTGCTGTTGTGTAGCTGGCAGAGAGCATCGTGGGGCAGAAAGTCCAGAGCAGCAGTGGGAGACGCCAGCATTTCTGGCACACTTAATTTAAAAACAAGGTATAATAGTATACACCAAACATGTGTTTAAGCTTGAACCCAAGCAGCTTGTGTGTCGAACACAGCTACTATCAGGTCCAACTGCAGCCTTGCAGACCCATTGAGCCAACTTCACGCTGTTACACAACACTCCGCTCCATCTTAAACCTAACTTTAACCCCTTGCGATAAAATCTCCACCTCACTTTCAAATACCATGTGGTGCAGTTTCAGCTAAATATACATGATACTGTTCTGCTCCAGATAAGGGCAAATGAACTGTATTTTGTTTTTAAAGAGTGGGTTAAAAATTTGTAAAGACAGATCATATTATCTGTAATAAAACAGAAAAGATGCAAAATATATTTATATTATGTAGGATTTAAATCTGGAATCAGATTAAACATAATAGCTTGCTTGTATTATTTATTTGGTAATATATTGATTTTTTAAAAAAGGTATAGCTGAACAATGAAGGCACTGACCATAGGCTTTGAAAAGAAATCCCCAAAGAAACACCTTTGAGCATAACAAACAGAAGCGTGTTTAAAACCTGTGCAGCTAGCCTTAAAAAAGAGTTATAGTCATAAATGACAAAAGAAAAGATGGACATATTTTATGGGAACGGGCTCCCTCCGTGATAGCTGTTAGGGCACTGCAAACTGGGATGGTCTGATACAGATGCAAAGTGCCACCTTGTGGTCAATAAGACTATTTACGCAATGTAAAGTTTTTCCAGATTGTTGCATGTCTTCATGTTTCATTTGAAACGTCAACTGTTATCGTTGTTTTGTTGTTGTTGTTTTTGTTCGTTTGTGGGGTTTTTAGCTTGATAAACTGGTCGTGCGTGATTTTTTAACTCCATATAAAGATATCTTTAGCTTTTTCGCATTTTAGCCGTGATCAACGTGTCAAATAACAAGGAGTGATATTGAAATAAAAAAGTTCTGCTCAACAAAAAATATTACTTAAACACAACAACTCATATCCTTTTGTGTTCTTTAGTGTTCCCTGAGCTTTACCAGCTCGAGGTGATGCATTTGGCTGAGTTAAGTTTACACCCTTGCGTGAAATTTACTCAGCAAACGTACTTGTCTAACCGCACGTAACCACAGCAAGGAATGGGTTAAATTCTTTAGAAGCTTGACTTAGTGAAAGTAACTGGACTGAATTCGACAAACGAGCAAAAGGATTCCCTCCTCTCCTCTCCATCTCTCAGTCCTCCTGAGAAGTGCTATGTTGTTTTGTGTCAGAGCTGAAACTGGAAGCGCACTGCCGATTTTAATCCATTCTCCACGAAGCTTCAACGTCTGTGCCCGCAAACTTACGTGATGTTTGCTAACTTACACTTAGGCTTTAATTTATTAAGTTTAATTGCCATGGCTAAACGATCACTTTTATTTTTATATATTTTCCAAGGACTACTCCCCCTCAGCTTTGGGCAGCAGCGCACGGTTGGCCCCTGGCGGCACCGGATTCAATGGGAGAACAACGGGCAGGTTTACAGTTTAATGAGCACTGGGCTGAGTACCAGGCTCCGTATCGGTCCACCAGCCAGTCGAGGGTTTACGTGAGCAGTCGGAGGGATGGTACCGGGACCCAGATGTCTGGAGCGCGCAGAAGAATGACGCTTGTGAGAACCGGACCAAATGAATCCAGACAGTTCAGGACTGATAACAGTGCACAGTCGGGACTTCTCACACCTGGACACGATGTTAGACCGTATGCGCCGTGAATCGTCATGCGTCAGGGTTCGACAGCGACTTGAACGCCCTACAGCAGCAGTTGTAAGACATCCAGGCGCACGCCATTTTAATGGTGAATTCACCAGAACCACGAACGCCTCTTCACCGGGGAGTTCAACAGATTTTTCTGGCGGTAATGGAGGTTCTGTCACTGTGGATAATACCGTACTACATACTAGAATAGGTGAATCCGGACCTGGTGCGCAAAACCAACAGTTACGCGCGGGGCCGGAGGTGACACCCGTCTCCAGGCAACCTGCTCAGACTGATCGCTCCATCTCAGCAAACCCGTCAGGTCTGGAAAATGAGTCTGAGGCACCGGCTGTATTTCCTGCACTTACTGAGGAAAACAGCAATGGAGAGGACATGGTCAATGACGACCCTCGAAACCCGCTTAAAAACCACAGGAATTCTGTTTTCTACAACATGTATCCGACCAGAGGGAGGTCAGCGGCCCGCACCCTCCGTCCGCCTGGCACAGGGTACGGCACAGGATATTTCCAAAACGGTAGGTCAAGTGTTCCATTTATATAATATTAGAGAAGTCAGATTATGTAGATCAGGGGTGTCAGACATAAGGCCTCTGTCTGGCCCACGGGACGGTGTAAAGGATAGTTCAGATTTTGAACTTTTAAAAGTAATTTATTAAGTTTTACAGTTTTTGCTATTGATCCATTCATACTACATAAAAGTACATTTTCTGTGAATTAATGAAAACTTTATATTCTAAATTTATGATAACAAGACAGAGCCTTTACACCTTAATCATTTCGTTTCACTGATCAGGCCCACTTCACATGAACGTCCACGATGTAAAACGAGTTTGACATCCCTGATATTTGTTAGCTGTTCTTCAAATTTTATATTTCATATAGTTAGCCAAATGGATAGATTTGCAATGTAAATTATTAAAATTAAGAGTGGATTAAGAAACTGTGTCTGTGATCAATATTTTAAAATAATATAATTCCAGCAAGCAAAACCTGTTTTAGTGTTAATTTGGCCACTACTTTAAAACAGCTTGTTATCCATTATTTGGCATGAATATTACTGGCTTTACATTCATGTAACGGTTCTATGGACACACAAAAACACTGTTATATTTAAAATCATCTGCTTGTTTGATTATTTAAGGACAATTTTCATAACTTTATGTCTCACCTTAAACAAAAAGCCAAGGAGCGAGAGAAAAAAAAGTCTTATTTGGCTTTTGGAGCTGTAAGGAATGTGAAACATGTTAAATTATGCCAACAAACACAAAGCAGCTTACATTTCCAGGGTGTCTATTTCTGTGGATTATTCTCAGCCTGAATAAGTTGGGAACATTAAGATGTCAGGAGGAAAAAAAAAACTTGGACTGTCCATTTAATCTCCTCCCAACAGGACTGCCAGACCTTGTGCCAGACCCATATGCCATCCAAGCAGGTACCTATGTCCAGCGCATGCAGATGTACGCGCTTCGCTGTGCAGCTGAGGAGAACTGTCTGGCCAGGTAATCTGAGGTGCCAGAAGTGATTCACTTCTTCAGTATGAACAGAGCAGCACGTAGACACTGAGGCAGACACGCATACTTATGTCCTTTGTTTTGTTTTTTCTCAGTGGGGATCCGTTTTACGTGCTTAAGAACAACTTTTAGTTGTTTTAGGGTTGCATTCAATTATGCCAGTGTAAGCTGTTAAGCATGCTGGGATAACTGTTTTGTTAAGCGAGTTACAAAAGCATTTGATCTTATTACGTAGCAATGATTGTCCAACATGACTGTCCAACATCATGTCCTGCCAAGACATAAATGTTCTGGTTTGGTTTTCCCAAAAGCATTAAGCACAATGGAACAAACCCTTTGCGCTCTGTTACTTTTAAGAAAACTAGACCTGGGAGCTCAGCCAGTAGCACTTTTCCAATGCAGCTTACGCTTTTTTCTCCTGTGATTCATCCAAGATCGGCTTATGGACCCACTGTGCGAGACATCAACTTCAGAGTCCTCCTGCGGTTTCCACAGAAAGTGAAGAACCAAGGCACCGCTGACTTCCTCCCTTTCAAGCCCAGATATCAGTGGGACTGGCACAGCTGTCACCAGTGAGTTTGATGACTCCTAAATCCTTTTTCTTAAAAAAAAATTTTAAAAAGGGATTAGCCATTCAGATATGACAAACTAGGAAGAACACCAAACCCTCAAAATTCACATAAGACAATAAAATTGCGGGTTTTTTAGACATTCCTGAGCCATAACAAAATATCCGCTATTGATTCTTTTCCATCTGTTTTGCACCCACAGACACTACCACAGCATGGACGCCTTCAGCAACTACGATCTGCTGGATGTTATCACAGGACGTAAAGTGGCAGAGGGACACAAGGCCAGTTTCTGTCTGGAGGACACGAACTGTGATCCTGGATTCAGGCGACGCTACGCCTGTACAGCTCATACGCAGGTAGCACACTATCATATGTTATGTGATATAACGCCGCACGGATTGATATCTGTTTTACACGAGAGCTGAGGAAAAAGATAAAGAAAGAAGACGCTCAGTCCAGTTAGGTTTAATTTTATTTAAAACATTCATCCACCTATTTGTTTTCTGAGTCGGAATGCTTGCGGATTTACAACAGTTCTCGCAAGATTTCATAGCCCAACTTCATTTGAGGGCAGTGTGGAGATAAAGTCTTTTTTAACAGGAAGAACCCTCCATAACTTTGTGGGATAGGTCAACAGTAGACATGCAAAGTCTTAAGATCTTTGTGAAGTGAAGGTTTAAAGTTGAGATGAGATGCATCATTCCCGATCTGGTAAAAAGAGATTTGTGACGGAGATACTTTTACATGCACTTAAATTTAAATGTAAAGCTACTGCTATCGCTGACCTATGCACCTCAGGTGAAGCATGGAGGCTGAAGTCTAATTTGCTTCAGGCTATTTCCTGGGTGTTGTTCCCCCACTCTCTGCTCTCTGAACTACCCTGTAAAGTAAAGACTAAAACAGCAGTAGAGACTTGCTATATATCAACTATCACCACCTTTGTGCCAAACTCAAGCAGTATTTTTTGCATTGGACTCTCCAGGATTCTGGTATATTTGAGGTCTTCAAGTTCATGGTGAGATCAGCTCAATCAGACAAGCCGGGTGTAAAATGATTTATTACAGCAGCAGAAAAATATACTCTCCCTGCAAATCTGTTACATGTAAAAGCCTGAAAGTGATGAGTAATGCAGGAATTATGGCTTCACGTATCTGTGA